TACACACAAGCAGACTGCAAACTTCCAGGGCAGGGGCATCCTCTTTTAATGTCTCCCTACTGTATCCTGGGGGTTGCTACACTAAAGGCAGAGAGAAAGAGAGATCCCACCATCAGAGCTTACTTGGATCCATCTCCACTAGCACTTTCCATTCTTCCATCTTGTGCAGGTCGATGCTGTAGAGGTCACTGAGGGTGAACTGGCGATCGCCCACCTCAAACATTCCCCCATAGACATAGAGAATCCCATGCTTCACCGCCAACATGGCATTGGAACGTGGGCATGGTTCCACTTGCTGGCCCAAGGCTCCATCTTCCTCTTCCTCCTCCTCCTCTGATTCAAACTTCTTCTCTTCTGCAGCTCCAGAGATCACCTGCTTGATTGTCATGACAGTCCCATCTTCTGCCACCACCTCTTTAACTACCTCCACTGGGCCTTGGGGACGCTTCTCCATCTCCTCGTCTTCAGCATCATCTGCCTCAGCTTGTCTGCCACGTCTTCGCTTCCTCTTCTCTGATTTTGGTCCCTGTTAACAAGAACAAGGAACAGAAGGAGACTGTGTGTGAATTGTGTGCACCTAATAACATGTACAGCAGTTCATACAAATACTATGGATGCTGCTGGGAGGGAGGGGGGAAAATTCAATTATTTTTCACTAGAATTGTAAGTTTCAAGTGATAGATACAACCTCCCACTCAGCATGAACTTCTACCAGCCATAAAACAAGGAGCATGAAACTCCTGGAGAACCCATGGGGTGGAGTTGCTTCCTTTATTAACGGCAGCATATGTCTGAAGAGACAGAAAACAGCTCTTTTGCTCTCTATCTTGCAGGTACACACAAACACACAGAGTCCACCAGTCTGTGGCAGGAGCAAGAGAAAATAATCCACCATTTAGCGAAATCAAAACAATTGCTGGGTGCTAAATTACAGTGCATTACCAGGAAGCACTCCAGGTCTTCGAAGTAGAGTATGAAAGGGCTGGAAAACAGTCAGCTAGGCAGGCAGAAGCAAACATTTGAGTGTATGCTTGCCTGTTATTATGTGATTGACTTCTTTTTTTTGAGAACAAAGCCAGAAACAGTCCGGGTGGAAAGAAGGAAGTTCAAGCAGGTCGTTTGCACCTCACTTTCCCCTTGAGAGTGGTTCAAACAAAATCAAAGATCTCAGCTGAGTGCCACGTTTCTCAAGTTCTTATGAACCAAGGTTAATATTTTATTTCTTCTAGTAGCTCATCAACAATAGGGAAAAGAAGGTTTTTTTGATCCCAATGCAACACAAGATCTTTTCACAGTAGCTTTTACTGAACTATCTCATAACAGACTTACACATCTGACCTGGAGCTGGCCTCCAGTAAAACACCATAACTATGTTTTCATGCTGTTTTGTTTCATTTGGCATCACACAACAACGGGGCACAGGCAGCCTGACTCCTCGAGGAGGGGGACTGCCTCCTGAAATACTCCCACTTTGTGCCCAACCATCAGGGCTCACAGGCTTCATCTCTCCCCAGAAGGGTGACAGGCTGCATCGCACCGTGGAAGCGGGGAATGGAGAGCACAAGGAGCTACGTGGCAGGGAAGGAAAGGGGTAGCACAAAGTTAGGGAATTAAGTTGTTCTGGTAGCAAAAACCTGCTAGAGTTGCACATCCCCAGCTTCATTTCTACAGTGTCTCCCCCTCTTCACAATCAGTGGGTCACAGATTAAAGCAGCAGCCACATTTGGTGGCTCAGCTTCTGCAGCACCCTGAGTTATCAGAAATAGAGACTTGTTCCATACTGCAACAAAGCTGTATGAGGCAAAAAAAGCCCAAAGGACACGTGTCAGATAACCAAGGAGAATGAACTGAATATATTTGTGTTATTTTTAAAACAAAACCTTTAGCTGTCCAGGAAACCAGCGGTTTTTCCCAATGTCATAGAAATAAATATCATTGAAGAAGTCCCCTTCAATGCTCTCTTCCTCTTCTTCATCATGCACACCTCCAAACAGGAGCGAGCGGTTATTGGGACCAATCACCACGGAGAAGCCAGACCTGGGAGTGGGTTTCACTCCAGATGGGTTGAGTCGACTCCATGCCCACTTGTCTGGTGATGGATAAAAACAAATATGAGCATCAGCAAAGGAGAATCCTCATCATTTTGGTTTCTTCCAAAGCCCTTCAGTACACCAGCAAGTAACTCAAGTTCAAACCAGGATTGATTATAGCCTTTGAGTAGCAAGGAAAGGTACCTCAGTTATCCCATGGAGCCCACCCTACATCAGTTCTTCTCCACAGGTCACTTCTACTGTGGTACCTTATCTGTCAACTTGCACCACTGCCTTAACCCCAAGAATAAGCTCAGTTCAGTGTAAGGAGACCCAACCACACTTCAAAAAAGGGCTCAGCAGGGGGAGAATGCTTCTGCTCTAAACCCTCTGCTTTTGCTCCAATCCTTTGTACTCTGGATTTCAAGCAAATCCCTAAAGTGCAGGCTGGGAGAAGCATATGCATTGGATGTGGTTTCCAAAAGAACCACAATTTCAACAAGATAAATTATAAATAGGATACAATACAAACAGGGTCTGGAATTCAGGCAATGCATGTGACCAACCCTCCTCCCCAAATCCCACCTGATTTAAGATGGTCAGGTATAAAGAAATCAGTCACAATTTTAACATTTTTGAAATTCAGCTCAAAGAAGATTGTCCCATTCCCCAAGTCAAGGACAAAATACACTCTCTCCTCAGGAAAGTGATACAATTCCTATTTCTGGGGACATTCACAGATAAAAGAACCAACCAGTCAAAACCCATTCTTGATAATATCCCTGCACTAGGTAATCTCATGAGATCACACCCCTATTTTCTCTCTTAAGAGTCTGTAAGTGAGCCACAACTACCAGAGTTCATCAAAACAGGAATTTCCAGTCCAGAGAATTCTGAAATCCCAAAGATTTTCTGTTGCAAAACAGAAAAGCAGTTGATCAAAATGTCCCAGAGAACAGAAATTTCAAAGTGTTGTTTTAATTCCCTCCCACACACAAACAACAACAACAAAAATCCCTAAAATATCTTTTCTTCTAATTTTCCCTGAAGCTGCCTGTGCAGGCCAGAGATTCTCACATAGTTACACAAGGAGCCTGGAGACCCTCCACTCCATCTCAGACCTCAACTGGGAGGCATCAACAGATGAAAATGTGAATTAGAAATTATTGTCTGATAACAAGTACACCCCAATCTTCCTCCAGAGCTTTGCCAGTTCCTCTAAGAAGTTTCTCAACCAGCTCCAGCTCCCCATGTTCCACTGTGGCAGAGCTACCCTTTACATTAGCTCTGAAATCAAGTCACCTGGAGCTGAGGACCATGACTCCTCACAGCCCTTGGCTAACCAGCAAGCTTTGTTCAGCAAAGCAGACACAGCCTCATCTTTTCAAGCTGTAAAATGGAGCATGAGAAGGGGACAGAACCGCTGTGCTGCACTGTCTGCTGCAGCAACAAGCACCTACTTCCCATTTCCCCTTGCAGAGCGCAGCAGTGAGGGATTCTGGATGGCCCATCTTCCTTCTCCAGCACACCCCAACACAAAAGGAGTACGTGATTCCTCCAACATCCCCCTGCAGCTGCTGTGTCCTTCACCCCAGCCCCTTTCTTTTTAAGCTAGGGTCACAGTACACAAATGCACTTAGCTGCTCCTGGGAATAAGAAATATTTCGATCAACTCATCTGGTGTGTTTAGCCCCAAAGCAAACGCTGGGGGATAGTGCTTTTCATGAAAAAGGGAAATTTTGTTCTAGGCTTGGGGTTTTTTGGTCTGTTATTCAAAGGAAGGGATGAGATTTGTATTTGCAGTCCTGCAGCATCACTTCCAGCACAGCCCTCCCAGCTGCAGCAGTCACTTACCTT